CTAAACACAGTTGGCACAGCACTAGTGATTTCAAAATGACATCATTTTCTCATAAAAATAGTCACGTGATTTAGAAAATTTTTATGTCAAAAAATTTTCCCGACATGGCTCTATATATGTGTGAAGTGACACTAGTGTAACCTTAACGGTTCCCGAGTAATCGCCAAAACGCGACGGACAAATTATCTTGAAATCCCTTATATTACCTGTATTCTATTACAAGATACCAATAACTCTGCTCCAAAAGTGATTGCCAGTGGGAAGAACCAGGTCATATTGACCCTCACGTAATTAAATAGCATCATTGAGACAAATACAGCCTTAGCGGTCAGTACATCACCAGTGAGTACCAAGGTGATAAAACTTGTAAATAAGATCAATTTGGATGCCATACTATACAATGACATATTGATTGCTTTTAGAAAGCAAGACTTCTGTATACACGACACTTCTTGTCTAATTATTTGGTATATTATATTATAATATTGTAGTATAATATTAATTAACAAATTATATAAATTAAGGTCATTTACTTTCGTGCCTCAGCCACGAGGTCTGCGAAGGGCTGTTCCCAGGAATACATTTTAATGACTCGCATACCGGATATGATCTCAACCATATGCCGGAGTCGATTGTCAGTGAGCTTAGCAATCATTAATCTGGGTAATTAATTAAATTAATTAAAACCATAAATGTGTTATAGCAACGATAATATAATAATGTCATTTACATACCTAACTTTTGAAAACAGTTTACCCATGAACAATTGAAACACAATAAGTACAATTATTAAAGCAACTGGCACTAAACTTGCCCATCTAGGGTTGCCAGACGTCCAGTTTTGGACTGGATTGTCCAGTTTTGGATGATCTTGTCCAGTTTCGAGTGCAGGGGTACAACTGGACATTGTGTCCAGTTATGAAATATTTTGCCAAAATATGAATATTTTGCACCAATTTACATTAGTCATGTGTTTATATGATCTATATATGGTATGGTGTATATCATAACTGAGCTCAGCGTGCATAATTGGGTATTGGCGGGCATAGCTATAATGTATTTTCTATGGGGCATAGTGTTGCCAGTCTAGCTTTTAAGCCTATTTGATCATTCCTGGTGTATATAATTACAACAAAATTGGGGCCACATTATTTGGTAAAATATATATGCCTTATAAATATTCTATATAAAAACACAACAAAATGATGATGTCCATTTTTTGTCCAGTTTTGAGATTGATATCCTAATGAGAATCCAGTTTTGGTCGAAATTTATCTGGCAACTCTATGCCCATCCCATATATGTGTACATTATATATATTGTAATGGCTGTTTGAATGGGCGATATTATAAAATAACTGGCGAATAGTGCAAACTAAATGTAAATAATTATCATGTTATTTATGTGAATTAGGTTAATTGGAGTTTCTATACAGTATACCTCATCAAATCGATTTGCATCGTTGGACATTAAGTTTATCATCTGACCCACAGTAGTCTTGCCCATTGATAGCCGGTTTAGTTTTAGTGACTAATATAACATATTATAACTTAATTATATTTAAATAAATAATAAATGAAATTTAAGTAAACTAACCTTTTTATACATTAATGTACAGCATGCGTTACGGGCCCGCATTCCCAGTTGCATAAAACGCGTCAAGGTGGTATGAAAAAACATAATGTATAATATGGTGCACAGACACACACCACCAGCCGCCATACAAGCATGGTCATATGTTATTATGTCAGCGCCAACAAAATAATCAATAACATATCCGAGTAGTATAGGCTGTGCCATACGGACTACACACTCCTATAATGAATAAATTTAAATAAAATTTTACCAACATAGTACCAATTTAGTTCAATAACACACATTTCAATTATAATATAATTTATTTATATTTATTTGATAAATAACTTACAATAAATAAAAGCAACATGAATGGTAAAATATGATGTTTGGTAAACGTTTTGAATAATGCCAGATATAATCTTGGTGATTTTTTCTTTAGTTCAACTTCTTAATTTCTACATAGATAGACATAGACATTAAAATAAGGTAATTATGATTATGTTACTTGGGGAATAAAATGGATAATTGATTTATACGTACTTTTCCAAACATTCAACCAAATACTTGGAGGCGTCGTATTGTGAACACCGGGACATGTCTTCAAAATCCAAACAATCCTTTCGCATACCCTTCACAAATAGTGGATATATCCACCTGTGGTTCACAAAATTAACACGATTAAATACTGTATATATCAATATTAATAATTAATAAAATAAATCTATTTATAACTAAATCATTAATTAAGAATAAAATATTTGCTCACGAAAATATTAATTTTTGAATACAGTTTGAATTGTCCCATGGTGACTTTCTCGTGATTTTAGCGTCAACATCCATAATTTGCTTATAATAACACTTGTTTAAAAATGTATTATATAAATTTCTACAAATCGTTGCCGTTTATATAGCTTTTGAAAATTGACTTGCACAATTTTATGACTATAATTATTTTTAACCACTATTCTGATAGGAATAATGTGGTTTACCTTTCCGGCCCCCACCCCTCCTTACTTTAAACACAGTTGGCACAGCACTAGTGATTTCGAAACGACATAATTTTCTCATAAAAATAGTCACGTGATTTAGAAATATTTTATGTCAAAAAATTTTCCCGACATGGCTCTATATATGTGTGAAGTGACACTAGTGTAACCTTAACGGTTCCCGAGTAATCGCCAAAACGCGACGGACAAATTATCTTGAAACCCCTTATACTAACCATGGTGTGTAAGATCTATAATTAAAACAATTATTACATTTATTTAGAAATTTTTGCAATTAGAAGAAATACAAATTAAATCCATTCAAAACCCAAACCATTTATTTAACAATCTGTCCACCTTCTTAAATTAGTCCCGCGAAGAACCTTCTCCAGAAATAATTCTCGGAGTTGCAAAGCAGCTAATTTATAGGATAGTCGAGATGGCAGCAGTGAAGCGATAAGCGATAGTTACTATAAGTGTATGTATTAAACTGATTGTCTACTGTGAAGACGCAATGTATAGAAGAGCTTGCGCACTAATGAGCAATGACAACTATGGCCTTCTTCACAAATACTTTCCCAGTGTTATAATGCATTGTATGTTAAGGCAGTTCCTATTCATGCTATGGTGCGAGAATGTGTAGTGTATTTACTGTCCAGTATACACGTAGCTATGGTTTCAAAACCATTTCTATAACAAAAAATGATACATAAACATCGTTAAGATATTACTTTTTTATTTACTAAAACCCATTATTTTTATTTAAATAGAAATATAATGTTATTTTACAGCAAAATAGTTGTATTTTTTTTACAAAATCATAGTTTAGCCGTTGTTTGGTTTAGCCGTTGTATGGTTTAGCCGTTGATTGGTTTAGCCGTTGTATGGTTTAACCGTTGTTTGGTTTAGTCACTGTATGGTTTAGCCGTTGAATGCTTTGTTGTCTCCGATTACATAATTTTAATTCAGTATATAATTAAATACCCATAAGTCCTATTTAAATAGGACTTATGGGTAATCTACTCATTAAATACCTTAATTTTCTTTAGGGTCTGTCCTTTCAAAGAGTCGACATATGACGTAATTTGTTTTACAATTATTTTTGAATATTTGAAAGAGTTTTTTTAAGAAATACAACAAATTAATTAAAAACATTTGGTTTTAATTAAAAAAGAAAATATAATACAAACAATATACTATTTGTAAAACAAAATGAAAAACACATTAAAATGAAACAAAAAACAAAATGTAATAACAATTTAGATATAAAATAACAAATAAAATGATGGCTTGAATTGATATTCAAAATCCATAGATAGAGACGGCTATTGACACTACAATCGCCGCCAATAATACAGGCACAGGATTGAACAGCCGGTGAAAGTCGGCACCGGAGGCCAACACCTCCACACGTTTCTGACAGTCGGGGCTCATATCACTCGTGCCTTTCAAACCTTTGCAATACTTTTCATCCAATTGCTGGCCATTTAGTATAGCATTACACGAGACCATCATATCTTGTTCAACGTATTTGCCATCATTATTAATCCACTTGTTGTTAATCTAACCCACCGTTCAATGCAGTGATCAATAATTACCATATATTAATACATAGAATGACAGCATATGAGGGGAAAGTACATACCTGTGCCTTAACGCTGCCATAGATTTCATAAAAAAGACAACAGCCCATATCTGTAAACAATGCCATTATACACTGAAGCGCATGCTCCATACTCAGACCTCAAGCACTGCAACTCATACAATGCATACATAGCATTCAATGAGCTAAATCCAAGGGAGATAACTCTCCATGAAGGCTATGCGCGTTCCTATCGATGTGCGCGCCGCCTGTTATTTGAGTTATTTGAACCCTTTGTATGCTTTTAACGTACAGTGCATTAAGTTTATACACACAAGCCAACAAATAGTGCGTGAAAATGGGCAGTCAGTAAGTGGTGGCGCGTCGAAATCTGCTATATAGTTGAAAAGCACTGATTTGTTAAGCGTTCAAAAAGTTAAACGTTTCACCTTCTGGGAGAGTTTTTGTAGTGACCCCTCTTTGAAAATCTACTGCTCGGACACCAGACATGATAATCACATTTTGATTAATTCAATATTTACTCAAATGTTTGGTTGAGGCTATGCTGAAATTTTTTAACACTGTCATTAACCGCTGATTTTAGCCAACAGTTTTAAACTCATTACGAGACTTTTCTCGTAAGAAGGCCGACTAATGGTTAAAAGTAAAACAAATGACAAACAATCGCCCGAAGTATCCATTAATAACATAACAGCCAAATGGAGTGATGTATGAAATAATATTTTCTAAACACTGGTATTAATTATAACTAATAAATTATTTACAGGAAAGCCCGTATCCAACGCTTCAAAATATTTCTGCTCATTTAAGACCCGGTGACTTATTAGCTGTGATCGGACCCGTGGGGGCCGGAAAGGTATGCATACAATTAGATTATAATTAAAACAAAAATATACAAATAATTAATTTTATATTTAGAGTTCATTATTGATGACAATCCTCAACGAACTACCGGTGCTGTCGGGGAGTATAGAAACGGTTGGATCGATAAGCTATGCCTCTCAGGAGCCCTGGAATTTTAATAATAGTGTTCAAAATAATATACTTTTTGGAGCCGAATATAACGAATCCCGATATAAACGAGTGGTAGAGGTGTGCGCTTTGGAGCGAGATTTCCAATTATTTCCGTTCGGAGACAAGACATTAGTCGGTGAGAGAGGGGTATCGCTATCGGGGGGACAGAAGGCCCGCATCACGTTAGCCAGGTTTGTGTTCATTTTTGTAAAAACTATTACATATTATTTATTGTCCGTATTATCTTTAGTTAATGTCATAAAATAAGTTTTTATTATAAATGAAAAATATAAAAATAATCGTCCATGCTCTACAATCCCATTTGAACTTTATCACCAAACAATCCATAATCTTTGCCTACTTTAATAAAAACAAGGATCACACAGCGATGCTATACGTTAACCACTATTCGGGAAAT